AACTCTATTAAATGAATATGGGAGCTTTACACTATAGTCTATATACAGAAGGCAGAAATACATAAAGCGTTTTAAACTACATTGATATTAATTCAGTGGTGCTAAAATAAGTTAACACCTATTCATTTTTAAAATATTTATCAGCGTATGAATTCGTATCCCAGATGGTCTAGGGGTTAGGATTCCTGGCTTTCACCCAGGCGGCCCGGGTTCGATTCCCGGTCTGGGAACCTTTTTCTTCAGCAAAAATCTGTCAGTTTTTGTTGCGAAACTCTAGGAAATGAATGATGGAAGCTTTACATTATAGTTTATATACATAGAGCGACTATTAGGAATATGGTAGCAAAATAAATAAATTATCTGCGTACAGAATGCAGAAATACATATGAAAGCTTTACACTACAGGTTATATTCATAAAGCGACTTAAAAATAAGGTAGCAAATCTGGAACGTTCGAGTGGGCCATTAGTGACATTTTATTTGATGATGAAACTTGCACGGATATCAATTCAGTGGTGCTAAAATATTTTAACAGTAATTCATTTTTAAAATAGGTATTAGCTTATGAATTCATATCTCAGATGGTGTAAGGGTTAGGATTCCTGGCTTTCACCCACGCGGCCCGGATTCGATTCCCGGTCCGGAACCTTTTTATCCAGCAAAGATCCTGTAAGTGTTCGTTTCGAAAAGCCAGAATATAAATGATGGTAGATTCACACTACAGTCTATATACATATAGCAACTTAAGAATATGGTAGCAGAACAAATAAATTAGCTGCTTACAGAAGGCAGAAATACATAAAGTGTTTTAAATACTGACGTTGGTAACTACATAAATATTAATTCAGTAGTGCTAAAATAAGTTAACAATTGTTAACGAAGTGAAGTTAACGAGTTATTTCTCAAAAATAGTGGATTTCTCCCAAGGGAACACAACGAGAGAGAGAGAAAAAAATTACATTCTATTAATTTTGTAAAAATACGGTATAAAACAAGATAACGTCCCTGGGTGGGCTCGAACGACCAACCTTTCGGTAACCCTCACAATGTGAGATAACAGCCGAACGCGCTGACCAATTGCGCCACAGAGACGGACGGGAGTTAGGACATGTTAAGTTGCAATATAATACAATTGAGCTATAAATTCTATTTGTTAATCTGTAACATAGGTTTGTAGTGACACCCAGACGGCCCGGGTTCGATTTCGGTCTGGGAACGTTTTTGTCGAGCAAATTTCTGTCAGTTTTTTTTGCGAAACGCTAGGAAATGAATGATGGAAGCTTTACACCACAGTCTATATACATAAAGCGACTATTAAGAATATGGTAGTGAAATAAATAAATTAGCTGCTTACAGAAGGCAGAAATACATAAAGAATTTTAAACTACATGGAAATTAATTTAGTGGTGCTAAAATAAGTTAAAACTAAATCATTTTTAAAATATTTATCAGCCTAAGAATTCATATCCCATATGGTACTAAAATATGTTAACACTAATTCATTTTAAATATATTTATCAGCCTAAGAATTCATATCCCAGATGGTACTAAAATAAGTTAACACTAATTCATTTTTAAAATATTCATCAGCGTATTAATTCATATCCCAGATGGTCTAGGGGTTAGGATTCCTGGCTTTCACCCAGGCGGCCCGGGTTCGATTCCCGGTCTGGGAACCTTTTTATCCAGCAATAATCTGTTCAGTTTTTGTTGCAAAACTCTAGGAAATGAATAATGGAAGCTTTACACTATAGTCTATATACATAGAGCGACTATTAAGAATATGGTAGCGAAATAAATGAATTAGCTACTTACAAAAGGCAGAAATACATAAAGCGTTTTGCACTACTAGGATATTAATTCAGTGGTGCTAAAATAAGTTAACACCAATTCATTTTAAAAATATTTATGGAAGTAAAATAGGTTAATACTAATTCATTTTTAAAATATTTATCAGCGTATGAAATAATATCCCAGAAGGTCGATGGGTTAGAATTCCTGGCTTTCACCCAGGCGGCCCGGATTCGATTCCCGGTCTGGGAACCTTTTTATTCAGCAAAGATCCTGTCAGTGTTCGTTCCGAAAAGCCAGAAAGTAAATGATGGAAGTTTCACCTTACAGTCTATATGCATAAAGCGACTGAAGAATATGGTAGCAAAATAAATAAATTAGCTGCTTACAGAAGGCATAAATACATAAAGCGTTTTAAACTACATGGATATTAATTCAGTGGTGCAAAAATGAGTAAAACACCAATTCATTTTTAAAATATTTATCAACGGTTAGGGGTTAGGATTCCTGGCTTACACCCAGTCGGCCCGGGTTCGATTCCCGGTCTGGGAACCTTTTTCTACCGCAAAGATCTGTCAGTGTTTGTTTCGAAACGCCAGGAAGTAAATGATGGAAGAAAGAATATGGTAGCAAAATGAATAAATTAGCTGCTTACAGAAGCCAGAAATACATAAAGCGTTTTTAAACTACATGGATATTAATTCAGTGGTACTGAAATAAGTTAACACTAATTCATTTTTAAAATACTTATCAGCCTAATAATTCATGTCCCAGATGGTCTAGGGGTTAAAATTCCTCGCTCTCACCCAGGCGGCCCGGTTTCGATTCCCGGTCTGGGGAATATTTTTATCCAGCAAAGATCTGTCAATTTTTGTTGCGAAACTCTATTAAATGAATATGGGAGCTTTACACTATAGTCTATATACAGAAGGCAGATTTACATAAAGCGTTTTAAACTACATTGATATTAATTCAGTGGTGCTAAAATAAGTTAACACCTATTCAGTTTTAAAATATTTATCAGCGTATGAATTCGTATCCCAAATGGTCTAGGGGTTAGGATTTCTGGCTTTCACCCAGGCGGCCAGGGTTCGATTCCCGGTCTGGGAACCTTATTCTCCAGCAAAGATCTGTCAGTTTTTGTTGCGAAACTCTAGGAAATGAATGATGGAAGCTTTTCATTATAGTCTATATACATAGAGCGACTATTAGGAATATGGTAGCAAAATGAATAAATTATCTGCGTACAGAATGCAGAAATACATATGAAAGCTTTACACTACAGGCTATATTCACAAAGCGACTTAAAAATAAGGTAGCAAAACTGGAACGTTTCGAGTGGGCCATTAGTGGCATTTTATTTGATGATGGAACTTGCACGGAAATCAATTCAGTGGTGCTAAAATATTTTAACAGTAATTCATTTTTAAAATAGGTATTAGCTTATGAATTCATATCTCAGATGGTCTAGGGGTTAGGATTCCTGGCTTTCACCCAGGCGGCCCGGGTTCGATTCCCGGTCTGGGAACCTTTTTATCCAGCAATAATCTGTTCAGTTTTTGTTGCAAAACTCTATGAAATGAATAATGGAAGCTTTACGCTATAGTCTATATACATAGAGCGACTATTAAGAATATGGTAGCGAAATAACTGAATTAGCTACTTACAGAAGGCAGAAATACATAAAGCGTTTTGCACTACTAGGATATTAATTCAGTTGTGCTAAAATAAGTTAACACCAATTCATTTTAAAAATATTTATGGAAGTAAAATAGGTTAATACTAATTCATTTTTAAAATATTTATCAGCGTATGAAATAATATCCCAGAAGGTCGATGGGTTAGAATTCCTGGCTTTCACCCAGGCGGCCCGGATTCGATTTCCGGTCTGGGAACCTTTTTATTCAGCAAAGATCCTGTCAGTGTTCGTTCCGAAAAGCCAGAAAGTAAATGATGGAAGTTTCATCTTACAGTCTATATGCATAAAGCGACTAAAGAATATGGTGGCAAAATAAATAAATTAGCTGCTTATAGAACGCAGAAATACATAAAGCGTTTTAAACTACATGGATATTAATTCAGTGGTGCAAAAATGAGTAAAACACCAATTCATTTTTAAAATATTTATCAACGGTTAGGGGTTAGGATTCCTGGCTTACACCCAGTCGGCCCGGGTTCGATTCCCGGTCTGGGAACCTTTTTCTACCGCAAAGATCTGTCAGTGTTTGTTTCGAAACGCCAGGAAGTAAATGATGGAAGAAAGAATATGGTAGCAAAATGAATAAATTAGCTGCTTACAGAAGCCAGAAATACATAAAGCGTTTTTAAACTACATGGATATTAATTCAGTGGTGCTAAAATAAGTTAACACCTATTCATTTTTAAAATATTTATCAGCGTATGAATTCGTATCCCAGATGGTCTAGGGGTTAGGATTCCTGGCTCTCACCCAGGCGGCCCGGGTTCGATTCCCGGTCTGGGAACATTTTTATCCAGCAAAGATCTGTCAATTTTTGTTGCGAAACTCTATTAAATGAATATGGGAGCTTTACACTATAGTCTATATACAGAAGGCAGAAATACATAAAGCGTTTTAAACTACATTGATATTAATTCAGTGGTGCTAAAATAAGTTAACACCTATTCATTTTTAAAATATTTATCAGCGTATGAATTCGTATCCCAGATGGTCTAGGGCAGGGATGTCCAACCTGCGGCCCGTGGGCCGCATTGCGGCCCACTTAATGTTTGGATGCGGCCCACTAACGAATCATTAAAAAATTTTTTTTTAGCAAATTTATGAAGTAATGAGCACGAGAGTCTTCATGTAATTTAGTCAAAATATATTTATTGTAATTTAGTCAAAAAATACTTTATATTTAATAAATAAAATAATTGTAGCGACCAAATTGAAACTCCCGTATGTATTTTTTTCTCGCGCTCTGGTGCGCCGCCACCAGCTACTCGCCATGCCGTTCGCAAGTCTTTGTTCTCGACAGTGTTGTTTTGGCTGTGGCGGTGTGCAGACTATATCTCTCAAAAGTAAGTGCTTAATCATTTAAATTTTCTTTATTGTTGAAATAAATGCATTTTCAGTAAACTACGGCTCAGTACACCTATTAATGGTTAATTTCTTTTTCAGAGAACTATAATCTTAAGTAATGAAAATTTTATATTTATATGGCCATGGAATCTATTACTAAAAAAAGGAAAATAGCAGAGAAAAGAGGAAATTTAATATCCAATGGACGGAAAAATATTTTGTGACCGAGTTATTTGGCAATATAACATGTCTTATATGTAATGATAAGATTAGCGTATGCAAGGAATACAATGTCAGACGTCATTATGTTTCGAAACATGAGTCAGAATATCAGACATTTAATGAAGAAAGAAGAAAAACGAAAATTGAAGAATTGACAAAGGCAATTAGCTCACAACAAGCTAATCTTCAAAAACATATTGTTAAAAGTGGAACATGTTACAAAAGTTAGTTACCTTATAGCTGAGAAATTAGCTAAGAAAGGAAAACCTCTTATTGATGGAGAATTAATAAAAGAATGCATTGTTATTGCTTTTAATGAGTACTGTCCAGACAAGGTGAATTTAGTAAAGGAAGCATGTCTATCACATCAGACAATTGGCAGAAGAATTGATGACTTGGGTGATAATATTGAAGGCATACTGAAGGACAAATTATCTGCATGCGTTCTTTACAGTTTAGCGTTGGATGAAAGTATTGACCAAAGTGATACTGCACAATTAGTTATTTTCATTAGAGGAATTGATGAAAATTTCAATATTATTGAAGAAATGTTGGACTTGTGTCACATAAAGGGCACAACAAGAGGCAAGGACATATATGAGATTGTTAATTTGTCATTAGATAAATTCAATATTGATAGGAAAAACATTTATTCAATTACAACTGATGGTGCTCCTGCCCTGACTGGTCAACACAATGGTTTTATTAGTTTATTTAAAGAATCTGTTGATCATGAGATTCTCAGTTACCATTGCTTGATACATCAACAACAATTATGTGCTCAAAAGCTAATATGAAACATTTGATGACTGATCTTGTCAAGGCTGTTAATTTCATCAGATCACGGGGTTTAAATCATCGCGAATTTAAAGCATTCTTGGACGAAGTTGGCAGTGAATATGAAGACGTAGTATATTTCTCAAAAGTTAGATGGCTCAGTAAAGCAGCAACCTTAAAAAGATTTCAGTTATTGTTGCCTGAAATAAAAGTGTTCTTGGAAAAAAAGAAGCAAAATGTGGATTTTTTAGAAAATGAAGAATGGTTGAATGATTTATCTTTCTTTGTAGACATCACCGAAGTATTAGCTGAACTTAATTTGCATTTACAAGGAAAGGACCAATTATGTTCCTCAATGTTTGAGCGAATAACTAGTTTCACAAAGAAATTGGAACTTTTTATAGCACAGCTAAAAGCTGGTAAAATTGTACGCTTCCGTAGTCTATCTGAAAGAGAAAAAAAGTTTTCTGTAAACTATGAAAAATATACTAAATTATGTGAGGATTTGCTTGGAGAGTTTACGATTAGATTTTCTGACTTTAGAAAGATTGAAATTGAGTTAAAATTGTTTAGTGATCCATTTTCATTTGAATATGATAAAGCACCAGTGGAGTACCAACTTGAACTGATTGAGCTGCAAAGTCGGGAAGGTTTAAAAACTTTTCACAGGGAGAACACACTTCCTTCATTTTATAAGAAATTGCATTCTCTCAAAAATGAATTCAATCAAATTCTAAATTTATCCAGAAAATTATTATGTATGTGGGGAAGTACATACTCTTTTTTTTATGTATAGCTACATAAAAACATTTCAATATTTACAACGTTGTAATAATGTAAATAAACTGTATTCACGTGGTTTTGTTTTATATTGTAATTTTTCCATTAAATTGTATTAAGAGGTGGTTTTGCGGCCCAGTTAAATATTTAAGTTTGCAATGCGGCCCATTGAATTAAAAGGTTGGACATCCCTAAGGCTTAGCACGAGCCACACCGCCGAGCCCGTATGTTGCTCATTGTACGATGGTGCTATTTCAGAGTTACTGAATATTCGTTTGCCCAAGACCAACATACATATTAGTACAATCTCCTTATGTGACGTGATTAAACTAATTAAAAACATATCGTTGGAAACGACGCAACCTAATCCGAGCATAGCCCGAAACCTGACACGCGTTCGCAAGTGGGCCACTTGTGCGGCTCCCAGAGAGTTGACAGTTTGTGTTTCAATCTAACATACTTCATAATACTCAACAACTTTTTATGCTCGCGAGGGTATATTTAGGCTTCGTTCGCCTGGTCCCTTGTCGGGTTGGAAGCGCGTTGGAAAAAAAGGTTTGCTATCTGTGGGCTTTGAAAAAAATAGAGCGCTTTTCTTTATGAGTATATTTGCGAGCCCAAAGTGTGATTCGTCCGAATCATCTTTTTAAAAGTGTATTAGTGGTCTGAAATTTATTCAATTGAGGTTTGTAATATCCGTCAATTTCAATTACGGTATATATTATGAATTCCGTAAAAATCATTTAAAATTTAACACTTATTTTCGTTGCACAACCCAATAAACTTTCAAAGTCTTATTTCAATGATTTCATAATAATTGGAAGCCAAATTTTTTTGAACGCCATAGAAAATAGAGAAAGATAAGAATAAAAGGAGATTGGCTCAGCAAAACGAAATCTGTACACAAATTTAAAAATAAAACAATATGATAATTAGTAATATCCATTTCCAACTATTTTGTCGATGATTTACGATTCCGTATTTACTGCAATAACGGCGATCTTTGTTACAGCACAGTTCATGTTTTTTAAACAGTTCATTATCGTCCGTATGTCTGTCTAAGCGTGTATTTCCTTGTTTATTTCCGTAACAATGACTGGGGATGGCGGAATCGAGTCCGGATTCGATTACAGAATAGATTCTTCGCATATTTGATTATTTCACATATTTGAATATACCGGTAGCTGTCGTGTTTGATTTCATATGGTATTGCTTAGGTGGGTATGTTTTCTCGGTAATATGTCGTGGAATCGATATTCGGAATCGGAATCGAAAATTTCGGAATCGGATAAGAATCGAATACTTGTAAGTGGTCATACTTAGCATCCTTAACAATGACCAATCAGCAAAATGTCAACGATGACGTGCGTATTGCATTTTTGAAGCCATTCAGACACTTCGTTCGCTCAGACAAATATTGTTTTGTGTTTTCAAAATAATTGTCATTATATCTTCTGATGAGTTTTAAATGAGTAAACGACTGCCTGACTGATTAATTTAGTTGCAATAATCAATAATTAGTTCTGTTGATGCGGCCTATTTTATGTTAGTAATATGAAAGGGTTAAATACATTATAACTCATAGTTAAACAATGCACATTCGCTACACTGTAAATGCTGCGATAGACTAGGCTAAAATGAGCTATTAGTACGTGTAATCCGCACGTGGTTGTATATTTTAATAAAAATAGTGGTTTTGAGCATGTAAATCTGTAACGTGTGTTCAGTAACACGGAAGTGGGGACACGGTATGAGTAGGGTCTTTCTCCCTAAAATAGATAACGAAGATACACTTAAAACCTTAACACAAGTGTATGCGATGAAACCAAATTTCTAACTAACAAAGAACGATAAAGACGAGCATCACTTTATAGGAAAAATATATCGTAAAGCAAATGAATTGGGTCAACGACCGTGTTTCAGGCAAATAACATGCACTATTGACAATAAGTGGTAAAAATATTGAAATACACGGTAACTCGCTACAATACATACATTTGCTCGAGCGCTCACGGGTAAAAGAGTCTATTTGTAAATGACTGGGTTGTAAACGGTCGGAAATACATGCACTACCCTTAAGGAGTTTGAAGCAAACACAATATCCGTCCAAACCATGGACCATGCCTACGACACGAAAAGATTAACCCGCATGTACAATTAATATATATAGTGCAAGCAGCAACAAATCGTTCTTGTTCTTAGCAGGACAAGTATTCATCATTCCACTGCACTGAACCTGTGGTCACGGTATTTTTATCGCCGTATACTAAACATATTTCGGTATACAAAATATCGCATTCATCAAACTTGATAGCTGTATAATAGATGGATACTTTATTTTGAAGACCGCCACGGCACAAAAAAATGCATACATAAGACGAAAATTCAGAAAGTTATCAAAACTTTAAATGAAGTTTTATAGCATAAGATATGGGCTAGGGCCTATTTCATGATAAACTTCACTTTGCGACATAGGATACCAGTAAAGATACACGAAGAGATAAAGTGAGAATCTAAATCGACTTATTGAAAAAAAGTAATCATTTACTGGTCACCTCGTTCAACTGTCAGTATGCTAAATTATAAATAGCAATATAAAACACGAACATTGAGTCAACCAAAGCTCAGGTGATCAATATCTAGAATCGATTATTATTTAAGTTTGAGTAAAGTGTAAGATGAATATAAAGACATATTTGTCTTGGAATTTCAGACTGCGTCTTGCATTTGCGCCGTGAAGTGGAGAGTTGAACTTGTAAGGTCTTATGTAGCTTTGCTCCAAGTCTTTTGGCAAAATTGTGCTCAGCTGATGGCCAACTTGATAGCTCCGTGGGCAAATTTGGGGTATCCTAGACTAGACAATAAGTAGGCTAACCGAGTTGAGTCCTCGTAATTTCATCCGAAGCCAAGCACTTTGACGTTGGTTTCAACCTTTTGCGTTCGTATGTCTGAGCATCGCTTTTTTACTCTGATTACTCGATTTTTCAAAATAGTTAAATTTGGGTAATTATTTGTTGGTTTATTTCCATGACACCAAAATGATGCAGTACACGAAGTTTCGCATAAGCACAAAGGTATGAATTTTAAATAAAAAAGTTCTTGTATTCTGTTAAAATCAATAGAAACGATTGGTGTATTTGATCCAAGTCCTACGACCGGTACTCTGTACATTGCGGAAATGCCAATTTATATGCTGCAATTTACCTCTATTTAATAAAGTTTTTAACTCGGCTTGGTTTGATTTTAGAAAACTTATGGAATACATTTTGTAACTTCGAGTCTATTATTCATTGTGCACCATTTTTTGGTGCTTTTCTATACATACTCACCTATTTATTAAGGTATATTTCCATGCGAACGAATTGCTGTAGTCGTTATTTTATTTTTCACACTTTGAATACTTTTAAAATACGACTTCATGTTGGGCATGTCATCCATATTATTCTGTATTAATACTCATCATATTTATTAGGAGGACATAGAGGTATTGGAAGGAATAACAATGAACAAAGCGGCAAAATCTATATCGAAGTATTCTGCAGGCCGTAAAGTAAGTCTACTATGCTGTTATATTGCATTTTCACTTTAAGAAAAATGAATAAATTTAAAAATTGACCCCAGTTTTAGTATTAAAATTTATGATTGATAATGTCTAA